GCATCCGTAGAAAAATTAAGTTTGTAACGTTCTCATATATTCCTGGATGTCACTAAGAATCCATGTAGCTTTCACAGGAGAATTAATTAACACACGTTTCTACATATTAACCAGTCCATATTAAAACTACGTGATGTTATGGCAAACTATGTTCTGAAATATTTGATCATTATTCACACCCACAACTCTGCACGCAAACGTACAAATTTCTATTGTTGAAAAATGTATAACTTAGCTTTCTTCGGCACATCGTAATACATATTGATAATCTCACTTACCAAAATTACACAACTACTTTCATTCCATTACCAAACAGCTTCCGTGCCTTGGGAGTTGATGTTTGTGAATCGAACGGAGAAAGGATGACACATTCCGATATAGTAAAGCTAGCCATACACGCATATAATTTCATTCAACTTCAATATTATGTTGACAACTTTTTCAAAGGGTATCATATATTTCCTCAGTTATCATTCAACTTTTATTAATATACACAAGTTCTGGAAAATCCTTAGGACGATTTGAGAGTGTATACTGTGTAGATTATTTACCTTTTTTCCGCACAATAAAAATGCCTGTAGCTTCTACTTTTCGCATCTGATGAATTTGAGAGCTACTATTGTTATGTTATGTTATGTTATGTTCTTGAAGGAACATTCAGCAAAGTTAGATTGAAAAATAAATTGACATAAAACTCCCAGAGAAAAATATGATGTCGAATGTTTTGTTGCATTCGGTCGGTCGGTAGCCAAGCGGTTCGGCGTGGGTACTTTGTTCACTTACTCGAATTGACTGCCTTGTTGGTCGGTGGTTCAAGCCCTAGTCTGAACGATCGATCTTCACTTGCTACCGTCCAACCCGTGTTAGGAATCACACGTTAAAAGGTAAGACCTCGTTAATACTCAGCTCGCACAAGTTTCGACTTCTGAGGGTTGTCGTTCGTAGGGGTGCGACAGCTGGTTAACGGAAAAATAGATTTTAAACAGATTATCTGTCCTGGGTCTGCGACTGAAAACACCTGCACCAGAACCGGAAGGTGTTTTTAATCCATCTGTGAACCAACAACTATCTGCTCTTAATATTTCATTCTCCCGTAGGATCCAGTCCTCTCTACTCGGGAATAGTACTTTATAAGGCAGTTCGTAATTGACATTTGGAGGCATAAAGTCAGAGGTCATTTCCAGAATGTCAACCAACAGTCTCTTGCACTCTGCATTGAATTGATTTGTGCAATTGGCATTGTGCACAAGTCTGTATGCAGTCCATCTAGCCTCTCTTTCCAGATGCTGCCGCTGACGGTGTGGTACTCATGTCAGCACTGATAGCCAGATAAGCCTGTCTCTGTAAGCCAGAGAGCTTCGCTTGGGCCGTTTTCTGTAAAGCCTTCGGCCACCAAGCAATTGCACCATACGTGATCATTGGTCTGACAATCATCACATAAATCCAATGGATTTGTTTAATGTTTTACCACAAATTCTTCCATAGAGACCATCTGTCCATAGAGACAGTCTGGCTTTGTGTAACACTTTTTCCAAGTGACCGTTCCAGGTGAGTCTTTTATCAAGGACAATGCCAAGATATTTCACCTCCGTTCCAAATGGAATGACCACACCATTGAGGGAAAGTGGCGTTAGATCGTCCAATTTCCTTCTCTTGGTGAAGCGGATTACCACAGTTTTGCTGGGGTTGACAGACATCTGCTCCCTCAGGCACCAACTGTGAACAACGTCCAACGCGCTTTGGAGGATATTACTGATAGGAGAGATGTTACCATCAATGGAGAAGGTTAAACCGTGTCTGAAGACTGTATCGAGGAGAGATACATACTTACTAGAAAATGAATATTTCGAATGTAATGTCTCCCAACTAACTACATCATAGGTTCTGCCGAATACCTGCCGTGAAACAAATACTTCCCCGGCTAACACCACAATGGACATAAAATTATATCCTACAGACATTTATGCAAAATACCCCACAGAGGTAAGTCCTGCAGATGTTTCATGTTCATCCATCAGCAGGACTACGCTGAAATCAATCAGGTAGATCACCTACAGACCAGTCTCATCAATGCAGCAAAGACTCGTCCCAGACAGCAGTGCCTGAGACTCCATTAATTTCAACGCGGCTCCCCTGCATATATGAAAACTTCGTATAAGAGAAAGACTGTCATCCAATAACAGCTCCATCTCGTGAACAAAACCCCAAGCGGGGAAAATCATTCCATGTATAGCTTGTCAAATCTAGGAACGAACTTGTTACATATAATCACCTCCGTACACCACTGACAGAGAACGCATTAGGATAGAAAAGGATGAAATCCACCTTGCGAGTTTATGCGCCTATTTGGGTTTCAGAGTGGCCTGAGACCACAGTCCTTGCCGCAAGTAGCAATAAGGGTTGATGGTTTTTTAATTGATGGCCAATTATTAGTTAAGTATGATAACGCAGTATTCGCATGATTGAAGATCACCTACAGACCAGTCTCATCAATGCAGCAAAGACTCGTCCCAGACAGCAGTGCCTGAGACTCCATTAATTTCAACGCGGCTCCCCTGCATAAATGAAAACTTCGTATAAGAGAAAGACTGTCATCCAACAACAGCTCCATCTCGTGAACAAAACCCCAAGCGGGGAAAATCATTCCATGTATAGCTTGTCAAATCTAGGAACGAACTTGTTACATATCATCACCTCCGTACACCACTGACAGAGAACGCATTAGGATAGAAAAGGATGAAATCCACCTTGCGAGTTGATGCGCCAATTTGGGTTTTAGAGTGGCCTGAGACTACAGTCCTTGCCGCAAGTAGCAATAAGGGTTGATGGTTTTTTAATTGATGGCCAATTATTAGTTTAGTATGATAACGCAGTATTCGCATGATTGAAATTAAGTTTGTTTTCAGCAGTCTGTATTGCATTTAATTTCGGGTTTATTAAGGAAAGCTAGAAATACAACAAGTTAACAAAAATTCCAAAATATTTCTATTAACAAACAATAACAATAATAGAACATACAGGATAATTAAAATGTTGGTATACAAATGTATTCCATCATAATACTAACACCACATTGACTAAAATATGTACATGTAAATCAACAGAAAGTGTTTTTACAATACTAAAATTAATGACTATTTTCCACATTTGATCTATTCTAAAATTCCCATTAGAATCATGAACGTTAACTGTTTCACAGTTTTTTCAAACATTTCATTTCCAATTTCATGTATTTTCAGGGTTCCCAAAATAATGTATATCTATAATATTTCATATCTTATCATCAAAATCCGTAACTGATCTTTTCTAAAAAAATAGGGTTATCAAAACTTATAAATAGTTGTGAAAATTACGATGGTATAAATTAAGTGTTGGCAGTTCTTCAAAGATTTTTCATAAAATCCAACCTAATCACAGATATTCACAATGCAAACAGCACTTCATGCCCACTACTGAAGAAGATATTTGGTTCAATTTGAAATGAACATGAACCTAGCGTTGGTTGTTTGTCTCCCAACTGATAATGGAATACCCAAATACATGATTCTAGGATGAATTTTACCTCGGATATGCTTTCTCAAATGGATACAAAATGATTTCAAAAATAAAATATGCCGTTTGAATGTTAGATTTGAAATCTGTAAAAAAATATATATCAAACTACTAAAATATTCATATGAGTTTTTTAAAAAGAGAATATTAGAAAAAAAGAACAGAAATGAACGAATCAGAAATGACATTTTCAAAAATGTCATTTCTGACATTACTGTTACGGATTACCATTTCCGTAACAGTGACAGAAGTAATTTATAAACAAAAAACATGTACCCCTAAAAACAAAGGTATACTAGTCCCAGATTTTTTTCTAAGTTGTAAACCTTCCTGGACAGTTTTCGATGGGCCACTCTATATACACTTGAAATAATTTCTCTTCTGGCAATTAGCATAGCACATTTGTTCACGGCTAACTTATTACGCCTGGTCCTAAGAATGGCATGATTGGATTATATTATAATTTTTAAGCGTCAACTCATGAAGATATGGCTCCCATAGTTAAGAATTTGCTATTAAACATTTAGAAAGCTCAATATAATTAATCTGTGTGATTGATGACTTGTTTAATATGACGAAATTCATGATTATTGTGATGAAATGAGTATAAACAAACCGCTATTTCAGAAAGGATCGTTGTGTGGGGTCAAGCGTCCGAACTACAAAGAGTGTTTGCGTTGCAAAAACGTATTATTAGCCGTATTTTCTGCTTATCTCATAGAACATCATGCAGAGACACCTTTAAAAGTAATACAATTCTCAAAGTGCCCTCTATTTATATATTTAAACTTTTGAATCACGTTTTCAGTAACCTAAACAGCTTTAGAAGGCGATATTCACATGTATGACACCAGAAACAAAAGAAATATCCTACCGAAGCAAATTTGTCACTCCATGCAGAAAAAACTCCAGTGAATACTGGAATTCGTCTATTCAACATTCTGCCTCTCGAATTGAGAGAGAGCAGACGTCGGGATATCTTCAAACGCAAATTGAAGGAAGTACTGGCCGAAGGATGCTTTTACTCCTTCCGTGAATTCGAACTTTTTTATGGTTAGTGCATCACTGAAATACCCCCCGATTCAAATTCGGTTCTTGATTCGATGTTTCATAACATTCAAGAATGTAATTTTCTTTAAACTATTATTTATGTTCGCCATTTTAATTGTACATATCCATCAGACACAATTTAATTTGTGAACTTGTGAACTAATCCGATCTATTTCTTGTTAATAGGATATGTATGCAATAAATCTGAATTTGAGTTTCCTAGAACCACGCCTTACTAAAAATAATGACTCATTAAATATTAGACTACAGATTTGTTTACTCGGAAATGATGTTTCTATAAATTTATCGTCATTTCTTTGACTCTTTGATTTCAAATCGATACTCAACGTAGCGTAAACACAAAAATGGCTCTCTGAAAATCTTATCAAATGGAGCAACTATGTCAGTGTTTCATTGCAATACGGTTTTTCTTGTAACTTCATATTATAATTCACTGAAATGTCTCTTCTTCTTTTTCTCGTAGTCGGGGTCAGCCAGTAACTTTTCACCAAGTCCGCTCCCTTTTCTCCTATCATGATGACAGGTGCGTTGATGTTGCCATTTGTTATGAAGGGCATTATGGAAGCGTCTATAACTCTTAGTCCTGATATTCCGTACACCTGAAAATAAAAAGAAATGCAAATGTGGGACAACCCAAGATTTTTTTGAGGTGAACTTTCTAAAGAGTGGCGCAAACACCCAGTCTTTAATGGCATGAATATTTATGGTTTTCTGGCTAAATCTTCCAGGATTGGCTCACTCCACCCTTCGAAGCTTGATACCAAACAGTTATTAGACCGCAGTAAGGATGAACTACGATGTCAAACAGGCCTTCTTACAGGTCACTATCATCTGAATCATCATATGAAGAGACTTGGACTGTCAAATCAGGTTTTTAGAGTTTGGCAGAGCCATCTGACCTGAAAGACCACTCACCTTAACTAATTGACTTCGTTGAGAAACTAGGTCAATTTGGTCGAGTGGGAATAGGTGTGAGGCCCAATAAACCTTTGTGGATTGCGGTGGAGGGTCGATTTCAACCCACCTACTTTTGACTTAACCCAACCTTGGTTCGCTAAATCAGAAACTGGATGAGAATTTGACACCGCTCTTGAAGGAGATTATCAATTAGGAAAAATTAGCCATTTCGATATAGACATTTCAGTTGAAAAATAAGTAGTAGCGAGACACAATTTGACATTTTAAAACACGAATGGATAGGGTGAGAGGGTTAAACATTAGGAAATGATCCAAATGGATGATAGAATAGTTCTAGTCATCTCGTAATGATGCCAACTTGGTTAGCGAAACGCGCGTCGGGTGTGAGTATTTTGTTCAGGTGTGGGAAAAGTGGTTTTGAGTGGATTAATTCCACCTCAGAGGTTTCAATTATATATCTCAAGTAGGGAGTATTTTTTGATCGAGTCAATTGATTTTTTGAAATGAGGTTAAATCGCTTTGAAAGTGTATGTTAGTCATGAAATTGAAATAGAGTGTTTTTTCTTTATAAAACATCAACGATTACCTTACTCTGGATATAAAATTGATTTTGGATCCACAAGGATTACTAATGGACTCTTCATTCTTGAACCCAACTAGACTGGGCGACTTCGCCTTTTGTTTTCTGATTTATAAGACCTGTTGTTTTGATAATAATGACAATTGTTATTTCAAAAACAATATTGGTCACTAGTATCTGTATCTGAAGAGTAGAGAGGCTGAGTGTAGGCCCACAGCACTTAGGCCACATGTGACCCATTGTACATCCTCCCGAGGAGTTGTTCTCCTAGGTCATCGTCCATCCTGTCCTTTCCAGGAAGGTGGACAGATCACTGGGAGTCATCTCCTTTATATCGGCAGGTGTAGGTCGAGATTCTCTTATTGACGATAATGTGTCCACTAGCCCCATATTATGGAGGTGTTTTCTTAGTTGACAGCGGCCAGTCAGAAATTCTACTGTTAAGCGTAGATTTTTCCCGGTCATCGCCAGCTTCCCAGGGTCGCCCAGGGTGATCCTGGCAAGATTGCATCCTTTGATTTCATCCCATCTCTTTAGGGATTGAGCATGGGTGTAACGTTCGGCTAGTTCCGCAATTGTCGAAGTCATCAGGCCAAAGGTGCCACTGGGTCCTGAAATTCTTAGTCTAGCCGCTTTCTTGACTAAAGAGTCGGCAATGTGATTACCTTTACTCCTGTCGTGTCCTTTAACCCACCTCAGGATAATGTAATTATCTACCGAGGCTTTGGCTAAATCTTGGTGGTACTCTAGTACTAGCCCTCAGGTAACACGATGTCTGTTCAAGGCTGACAGAGCTTGTCTACTGTCAGTGTAGTTCTGTTTGAACCACTCTGGTATTTTTTCCCATTCCCCACTCAATCCTTAGGCTTAATGATCTGGAGTACACTCCACATCCTGAGCCTTCTTTGGTTTTGGATCCTCAAGGATTACTGATGGACTCTTCATTCCTGAAGTTATTCCATACTCTATTGAACCCAACTAGGCTAGGAGACTTCGCCTTTTGTTTTCTGATTTATTAGACCTGTTGTTTAGATTATAATGACAATTCTCATTTCAAAAACAATATTGGTCACCAGTAAACAACGCTTAAAATTCTAAAATGTAACTGATGAGTTAAACAATATGTATGAACAAGAAAGCTACTGAAAACACTTATCCTGGCCAGAAAAAAACGATGTCTTTTGACGCGCGTTTCGCTAAGCAATCTAGCATCATCAGGAGATGACTGAAATGCGTGGGACAGAATTGCTCCCAGTTCGCTGTTTTCACAAGCCGCATGAGGGTAGGGCAATGGGAAATCTAGACGAACCATTTCTTAACAAGAGTGTGAAAAGAGTTTTATTAGGTATGGGATCTTCGTTACCGCGGTAATTGAAAAAAAAAACTATCAACATCACCTTTACTCTTGATTGACTCGACCTTTTTTCGGTTTCGGATCAGTTGGAAGGACACATTCTGAAGCTTATTGCGTAATTTGCATGTCAAATTCGTATACCCATGTCTCTTCACCAGTTACAAGGCGTTTCATGAATGTAGGGTCAGAATTGACCATGTTTTCATCGAACTAGCACTAGTCGAGCGGTAAAGCGTTTCATTTCTAGAAATCGTTTGAAATGGTACCAACTGCTTCGTGAGACGTGAATATTTTAGCATCTTGCTTTCTCAGTCTCGAATGACGATTTTCAGATATAGAGTTCAGTTGATAGCCGATGAGAGCGAGGCAAATCTTCGTCTATATCCCGACAGCTTCCAAATTCAATGTACCACTCATAGGCACGTGTTTTGTAGTGCAAAATTTAGGACGTGGGTGTCCCACGACTTGGACGATCGACAGAAACTGTCACGTTTCGTTCCAATTACTAGCTGTGAATATGAGTGCTGTATCGTCCGCATATGATATGAGATGACCCCCAAAATTGTTGATGGAACATATACTATTAATGTAAACAAGAAATAGTATGGGACCTAAAACTGTTCCCTGTGGTACTCCTGTTTTAACTTTCATTGCTTCACTCAGGCTATTATCAACTTTGACCTTTTGTGTCCTACGTGATAGATAGTCTTCCAAAATATCGTATGTTGGGCCACGGAAAAAACATTGAAACATAATTTTTGCAATACTTGGCTCTTTACTAGACTACTTACCCTTAACTGCGGATCCACCACCGCATAGGGATCACTTTCTGGTCCCATTTTTGCTGTACACGAATAATGGTAGATAGACAATGTGTACTGTCGAATGTAGCAGTTCCAGTATTCATCAGTGAACTGAGGCAGATGCTTACATTTCGGTACTGGTACGGAATGGAACCGCGCGCCGAATCTCTTCAGAGCCTCCGTTTGTCCGAAAGCGACTGCCGCCTTCGTACCTTCTCGAAGTACGTTCACGTCGTGTGGATGTGTCAAGTAGTTGTGGTAAAGAAGTGGATATTCCAAAGGGTTGTTGGACCTAGAATTGGTAATGAATGTAGGAAGACCAAGCTAAACTATTTAGTTTGAACAGTTTAGTTTGATCTTCCTTTTGAAGATGATCACTTGGTGATCTAAAATTGTGTGGAGGTGTTAAAATAACATTTTGGTGTTGGAATGAAACTCCAGTAATATTCATTACTACACCAAAGTTGCCAAACAGTGCATCACAAGTCATTGCAAATGTTACATGTTTTTATTGAATTGCGTTTGACAGTCTTATACTTCTCTTTCTAGAGAGTTTCTGATTTTGAATTTTTTTTATGAGGTAGATGAATTATTTCAAACAGGTTTATCGAGGGTACAATGTCCTAGTATTATCATTTCCATCACCGATGGTTAAGGATTTCGCGGCTGGTTTGAAGGCCGTGGATTTTTGGAATTTCTTCCTAGAGCAAGTCGTCTATAAAGGAGTCACTTTCTGGTCAACTCTGGTAAGCAGTCAATCAAATGAAGAGAATTAGTCGAATATTCCACTTACGAGGTGATAGTTCTATGAGGATGCCAAAGCCTATCCTGTGGGTAAACGTAATACAACCACTTGTATTTGAAGAATTTATGAGCTGCGATGATAAACCACGGTGATAAGGATAGTAAATATGGTGAAAACTGGTACTACGAAACGTTTTGTCTACTACTATAGTAAACATCATCAGTGTATCTGCGTTGACAAGACGAAGGTTAGGTTACATCTCGAAGTCAGCATATTGACTTGTGAACATCGTGAATTGCACAAATCAATCTGATGCAGTGTACAACAGACTGCTGGTGTACACTGGAAGTCACACCATTCTGGGAATGACCTCTGACAATATGCCTCCAACTGTCAACTACGAACTGCCTTATACAGTGCTATTTCCGAGTAGAGAGGACGGGGTCCTCCGGAAAAAGGAAATTGAGCGCAAATAGATGTTGGTTCACAGATGGATCAAAAACACCTTCAGATTCTGGTGCAGGTGTTTTCAGTCGCAGACTAAGGATAGAGAAAATCCTGTCTAGGGACTTCTGTGATTTTATTCTACCGGAAATTTATGCTATTGAAGTGTGTGCGGAGAGACTGGTAGAATCCAACCTCATACACAAGTCAATAAAAATATTCTCGGACGGTCAAGTGGCGTTTGGAAGCTCTTGGCTCCTGCCGAGCAACGTTTAAATTGGTAGAAAATTACCATAAACGACTCTCCTCAGTTGAAGCCAATGAGGAAGCCAATGAGGCTGCTGACTTCCTTGCAAAGGAGGGTGCTGCAAGCAACTTCATCGGACCAGAATCAGACTAAACGAATATTGAACACTTTGGATTTAGGGTTTCTGGCAAAAACTTCCAGGATTGGGTCACTCCAAGGCGTTCATTCACTCTTCGACGCTTGAAACCAAACAGTTCGTTAAGAAACTGATTTCATTTGGTTGAGTTGGTGTGAGCCACAATAAACCTTTGCAAGTTGCGGTGGAGGGTCGAATAGACCACCTAACCTAACACAACCTCAGCAAAGAGTGAACGAACTAGATACTAGAAATTCATTCCACCACGACCTACCAGCCCGGTTTTGTTCAGTTCCAGTGCAACAGAAGCAATGATCGGCACCATAAGGACCTTTCGCTGCCGTGACGTTGAAAAATTATGTAAAAGTAACGAGTTTCATACTCGGAAATGAAGCACTGCACCGGGTTTGTCATGAGAACAAGGGAATGTTTTGAAAATATTTGATTTCACGCGACATGCTTTTCACATAATGGATGGTATATCGGATCCAACTTGAAAAGAAAAATCCCAGTTTTCAACATATAATAGGGGAGCCCACGATGCAAAAAGGGGATTTACTCGAGCGTCATAGAGACATATTAGGTTGCAAAGCTTAGATGATAAGAAGAAAAAAATATTATACAATATACCATTTCATCGGTGGGGGAAGCGGCTATAGATTTTTAAATATGTAAAAAAATACTGTTGCATGGACATACTCGAGCGCGTCAGATATTGATAGCATCAATGTCCTACGTATTTTTAATAATGTTGGTATGTTAATCTGATCGTTTACATAATGCTGGGGATGAAATTTATACTCTCGTACACCTCCTTGTAAAATTCGTCGGATAATCCGTGAGCTTTCTTCACTTGCGTTCCCCCATCAGCCGGTGTTGTCGTGCTGGTGAGCATGAACTCCATATCGGGCCAATCATCAGATCTGTTTGCGTACTTCGTGGGAATGAATCCTACTGTTTCCAGGCCGATCGATGAAGTCAAAGGACCATCTTCCTTCACGGCATATCGTAGGGCTGTGTTCAGGTTGACTAGTCTATTGATGACCAAGCTAATGGGATGGTCTATGAGGAAGGTAACAACGCTTGATATGTGGTCTTGGAGGTTTTGACCTGCAATAATGGCAATCAAGTGTTTCATGAATATCTCTGGAGAATTTATAAATACCGGTGTGTTAGTTGCAGAGAATTCGAATGAAAAATTTATACGATTTACTACCTAATTTCGAAAATGACATATTGAATGTGAAATTACTGTTTTGCTATTCTAAAATTTCAATATGTCGATAGGATTTCGAAATTTCATGGAATCGTCTCATATTCAAAAAAAAAAATACATCACGTCACCTATGGAGGAGAAAAATCGGAAATGTTTTTGGCTGGACCAAGGATCCAACCTCGGCCCATTGCTCTTTTTAATTTACATAAATGACCTACCAAAAAGAATGTCATTGGACTGTTTGCTATATGCTGACGATTTCAAAATGCTCAGAAACATTACAGACCTAAATGACTATTTANATGAGAGCCGCTAATGACGATGTTTCAATGTGAAATTCTTCCATTTACTATATTGTGTAGCAATCCTGTGAATGATGTTTGATTGATGTCTGAATAACGAATGTTTGGAGTACAAACTGTATAGATAAAGGTAGATAAGTAGTCGTTTCGAGAGAGCTTTTAGTTCCAGTTTTTGTCTAAAAGTTACTTCTTTGCATGATTTATACATCTTTGTGAAGAGTTCATTTTGAAATTGATTGCTTTCTTCCTTTCTTTGGAAGATCCCCACAGTTTTGTATGAAGGTGAAAGAGGAGAAATCCAAAACTTTTCTTATCCAAAAATGAATCTTGATTGGAAATATATTCCTCTCAATTTAAACAACACACTTCATTTTATTTTAATTTAAAGATGGAAAGCGCTTAATAAAAGACCCGTTATTTGGTTGGTGAGGGCTTTTTTTTCAGTTTTTGTTTTGATAAGGTAATATTTCAACATTAAAATATTTATTCTTATAATCGAAATGATATTATTTCGATTGCATTAGTATTGCATCAGCAGCAGCTGGCATTGGTCAGCAGAAGAGGTTCGATTCTACTCCTAATCACTGCCCGAAAATTAAACGAATTGTACGTCGAAGTTCTGCTTCACCCAGCATACTCCCCAGACCTCTCACCAAGCGACCACCATCTTTCTAGCACTTGGCAACAGTGCACTGATTTGAATGACGCTCATTTTGATCAAATTAAATGACTACTGTTCAAAGTAGATTCATGAAAATGGACAAAGCTGTTGAAACAACCAGTAGTCGCGCCTGGAAGAAATTTGGAGAGTTTAAAGAGTGATACAGGTTCACAGTACTAGTTGCAAATTGGTAGCAAATTGCCAAAAACGACTCTTCTCGATAGGAAGACTCAACAGATTGTCTCTGGACTGGATTCTTGGCTATACCTGACATGGAAAGCAATGAAGCTGCTGACTCTCTTGCAGAGGAGGGTGCTGCAAGCGACTTCATTGAACCAGAACCTGTCATTGGCATCGCTTTGGGCTTTGCCAAACAAACACTGAACATCTGGATGGCAAGAAGAGTATGGACTCACTCCAAGGCGTTTATTCACCCTTCGAAGCTTGATTCCAAACAGTTGTTGGACTACAGTAGGCATGAACTACGATGTCTAACAGGCCTTCTTACAGATCACTGTCATTTGAATCATCATATTCAGAGACTTGGACTGTCGGAAGACAGTGTGTGTCGCCTCTGTCTGGAAAATGATGAAACAGCAGAGCATATACTTTGTGCTTGCCCCGCTAGGGACCGAATCAGGTTCTTTGAGTTCGGCAGATCCGTACTCTCACCATCTGACATGAAAGACCACTCACCATACAAACTAATCGGCTTCGTTAAGAAGCTGGGTTTATTTGGCCGAGTGTGAATAGGTTTGAGCCACAATAAACCCTTGTGGGTTGCGGTGGAGGGTGGAATAGAATAGACTAGTTGTTCCATCGGAACAGTGTCAGCAAAAATATATTTTGGAAAAATTGTTATATTTGATAGTCACTTTTTCATCTTCCAAATATTTCCATCCCATTTTGACTAAATGACCTTTGTTGATTGTTTTATTCGAAACAATGAGAATCCCAATGTATACTGATAACAGTGTTTTTGTTTCATCACGATACTGTTTATTCAAATCTTTCAAGGTCACTTCTATTTTTTTTTTATAAAAGTAAAAGTGAAATACTCACCAACCCCTGGAGAGTCATGAATGACCCTTATCCCTTNTAATAACAGTTTGAAATGTCCTTTGATTTCAATTTCATCAATTAACTAGAATAATTTTCAACATAACCTAACCTAACCTAACCTACCCAATCAGTATTGAGTAGACCTAGGTGAGAATGGGTGAATCCCGAATTGAAATTCATTTTACTTAACATTCGGACTTAACCCAAAACGATTGGATAGTACTAAGACAACCCTGGTAAACCTAGGTTTACCCATCTTCCAGCTCTAACCGTAACATGAACACAATATTCTGATGTGACAACTATACTAAAGCAACGTAAAGTGATAAAAGTACTAAAAGAATAGTATGCCATCAAAACTTATTTTCAGAATTCAAGTGTAGAGTGGGACAAGTATTATTTGTCTATTCTTCGAAAGACATTTTTTCATGGAGGAGTCAATACTTCTTTCTGTTTTTTTGGTGAACGCTGTATGTTCAAGAAATAAGGTAAATTTTGATCTTTCTCAAAAAATATTTATTCATTCATCAATTTTGTCAGTTTCACCTTTTTCACCTGAGGTCTCTCAGCGATTTGGTTTTTCCTCCACAATCGTCGCAAAACGCCGTCTCCTCATGGGTCTCTTCAATTTTAGGAATAAAACAGCGATGCAGGGGGGCAAATCTGGTAAATACGGTGGCTGAGGCATGATTACGTTATGGTTTTTGGTCAAAAAAACACGAACAAGCAGTGGTGAGTGGGCAAGTGCATTTTCATGATGTGAAGGCCATGAGTTGTTCTTCCACAATACGGGACCTTTTTCTCGTATTGTTTCTCACAATCGACGCATAACTTCAAGGTAATTCTCCTTATTGACCAGACGACCATGGGACTAGAGCTCCCGATGCAGTACGCCACGGTAATCAAAGAGTAAGCAAAACCTTGACATTGGTCCTTTTTTGGCCTTGGCTGTCCTGGGCGTTTTCATAGGGACGATTGGACTTTGCTTTCGATGTCATAACCATGTACCCATGATTCGTCACCAATTGTGACCCTTTCATGCAAATGTCCATCGCCATAGACGTAATTCAACAATTCCTGAGCAATGCTCATGCGTCCGTTTTTTTGGTCAAAATTCAGCAATTCTGAAACGAACTTTGCTGCCACACGCTTCATGCCTGGAATTTATGGAAAACTTGCAGCCAACCGATATGCTGACATCCTCAGCAACTTCTCTTATAAGTGATTGGATAATATTACATAACAATTTCCTTCAATTTCCTTCCTTCACATCTTCTCGACCTTCTGTGGAAAACTTGTACCATTTTAAACTTCTCTTGACTGGGAGTACAATCTCTGTATGCCACTGTCAACATTTCAAGTTTATTTGAGTACTAAATTTTCACAAAATTTGATGAAAATTCTAGAGATTTTTTTGACACAAATCAAACCCAAAAATATCCTGAAATCAACTGGTAATCATACAGTTAAATGAAGTGAAGTTCCAAGAATCCGCATATATTTTCTCAGCAGATAATAAATGTATTTCAAATAGCTCAGTAAAAATGGAGTGCACCTGGTTGTTACTGTTGTTACTAGGCAAGAGGTTGAAAACGAAAATAGGGGAACGGAAGGTATAACGGACCAGTTAAGGAAAAATCAATGTAACATAAAAAATTAAATCTTTATTCTTTTTATTTTGTTATTGTATAATTGAGCATTTATTGATCAAACTTATTATTAATAATCACTTGAAACAAATCACAGATATAGAAGATATTGGATGATTTCCAAAACCCTCGGTTTGGCCATTCTGCCTACACGTGAAGGTAAAATGAACCAGTCATGAAGGCAAAATGGACCTATGGCAACATAAGAACGAAAAAAAATTTATAGTATTCATTCAACTGCACACCTTTCGCAAACAAATCTAACATCTTCATCATTATCTTCGACACCGGCACAACTACAGTGTGCCCATAAAGAATATGCGGGACACTGTACCCAGCCTTCTGTTGGTTCAGAAAATAAATGAGAGCAATAGAACCATTGTACGTCTCCTTTGTAGATTTCCCCTTTCCTTTTCCTTTTTGAGTATTTGTTTGTTTCCCTATCCCCTTCTTTCCAGTAAAAATATTCTGTTTTACCTTCTTTGCGTTTTCTTTCGTTTCCTATGCTTTTTTAGTAGCTTCTAATTCTTCGCGATAGGTTGATGATGTTATTTCGACTGTCTTTGCTCGCTTAATATTAGGTCTAGTCCGTTTAGAAGTTCTAGGGATGGCCATGATATCTTTTGGAGCAATAGAAGAGAATGTACTCGTAGATGGCTGTTGCTCATCATTGCTGGTTAGATCTTTATTTTGGAAAATGCTCTGATCACTTAATGCTGATGGCGATGGTACAGCGGTCTTCAACTCTTTATCAGTCTTTGATAACAATGGTTCAGTGACACCTTTATTGCCAGGTTCCGCTGTAAATGTCTCATCATTGACTAGAGGTGGTGTCATATTTATTTGAATAGCTGCATGATCGGCAGTTACTGATAATTCAGGTTCGTCGATGATGAGTACTTCTTCGGGTTGAATCATCGATTGTCCTGATTTCTCGACTAGCTCTGCAACTTGAAATTGGGTTATTACTTTTCCTGAATTTAATCTCAGCCAGTTATTTGCAGCTTCGGTATAATAAGTTAAAAACGGTTTCATAAATCCTACATCTAATGGTTGAAGTCTATGTGTGCAGTGAGGCGGAAATGAAAGCACATGCACACCGTGATCCCGTCCTAAATTGATAATATCCATGTGATATATGATGGAATCGGCCGATACTTGATGAAAATCCATAACTAACGTATTCTGAAAACACTTTATTTTGTGATTTTCACTAGATAGTTTTACAAAAACGCAACACGTGTTTCGCCATACAATGGCTTCCTCGGGCGTGTCTTAATAACTAATTCTACACATTAAATGCTATATATACCAGTCTTTATTGTTTTTAATAAATTTACTTAGATTATTATTCGTTCTGTAAGCCACGTTTACGCCTTCTTTCTTTAAAACCAACCAACCAACCAGGAATATAGCCCGTTTTTTGAAGGTGTATATAAGCTGACTTGTGGCTCTTGTCCAAAACTGTATATTGGCCAAACTGGAAGAACATTTTCCCAAAGAATTAAAGAGCATAGAAGCAGTTTTATCAATAGAAAGACCAATTCCACATTTGCAAACCATCTATTAGCAGAAGGACATGAGTTCAATCAGGAATACGATGTGTTACATTTGGAAGAGAAGAGTTTGGAACTCAATCTTCTAGAATGTTTAGAAATCAATAGATTCAGGAAATCGGGTAATTTACTGAAAAAAAAAACAGGTACTTGAAATTCAGGTACCTCAAATTGTAGAATAAGGTATATATAGCATTTAATGTGTAGAATTAGTTATTAAGACACGCCCGAGGAAGCTATTGTATGGCGAAACACGTGTTGCGTTTTTGTAAAACTATCTAGTGAAAATCACACAGTAAGGTGTTTTTAGAATACGTTAATATCCATGTGTTTTGTGTGACTAGCATGCCCATCGAGCAAAAGCAAGACAGGATTATCGACGATCGCTCTTGAAAATTTAATAAACCACTCTGTGAAAATATCTTTTTGTATCCAACCGCTTTCATGACAAAACGCCGAAGATCCTCGTGGAGCATTTAGCATCAATTCTGGTTTCATCCTTTTACGAGGGAACACGAACAAGGTAGGCATGTGAGACCCGTCCGCACCAAAGTAGCAAACGACAGTAACAAGCTGGCCTCGCTCAGCAGAAGTTAATAGCCCCATCTGTTTATTTCCTTTTGTACCAACAATACGAGGCATACTTTTTAGTACCATTGTCATGCCTGTTTCATCGGCATTGAAGATTCGATCGGGTGTCAATTTATACTTGGTTGTTATATCTGTTAATTAATCGAAAAACCGTTTAACCCACCACTTGGTTGAATCCAGATGCTCGAGCAGCTGAAGTGGGTTCTGGTTTTCGTAGGCTTGAGTCAGGATTACGCTTCAAGAAATTTTCGAGCCATATTTTTCCAGCCATTTTTGTCTCGTGACAGAAATTGTGTTGTAGTTTATTTTGTTCGGCAAGCACATATGCGAGATGCCTGACATCTTTTGTGGTTAAACCAAAAAAGCGATTTTCTATATTTTTGACATAGGATGCTTGTTTTCTCTCTTGTTCGACATTGAAAATCTTTTCATACCTGCCCATTTTCTTTTCCGTAGCTACAGTTAAGTCTTTGGTGCTTTCATATTTGGTAAGTCTTCTTATTAATGTAGTCTTTGGAACATTAAATGTAGCGGCCGCTTTGTTAAGCGCCATTTTGCGCGAAGCTACATTTTCGATGGCATTATTCATGTCTTCCTCACGCCAAGATTGTCGGTCCGACTTTCTTTCATAGTTGTTAACCATCTGAAATGAAAATACCTATTTTTAATATCAAATTATGTATGTATAATTACAAACCAATTGCATTGAAGTTGAAACGGACCACGTGGTCCATTTTGCCCGTTCCGTTTTGCCTTTTCGGTAGGCATGTAAACAATAAATTATTTTGAGGTTAAGATTGAGTAGAATTTTGTCTTTTTGATGTTGAAACTAAGTAAAACAAACAATATATCATACAATAATACAAAATCCCTGATATATTTAACGTAATAAAACTGAAGGCAGATCAAAATTTGCTGTTTTTACATCAGAATACGTAAAAATTAACTTACCTTCATAAAAATATGTGCCTCTGCACGGCCGTGCAGCGGCGAATGTCAAGTTGACGCTAGTCGATAATAGATTGGGTCAACAGTTTGAAACTTGAATTTCACTAGTTCGGACTTCCATTGTCTAATATATAAAATGATTTGAATATATTAGACAATGGAAGTCCGAACTAGTGAAATTCATCATAAAACATTGTCAATCACCTTCAAAAAAATTTGAAACTTATTAGTCTGATCCGTTCTACCTGTAGGGTCCGTTGTACCTTCCGTTCTCCTATGAACCTGAACTAAATCCTCAGAAAACATGTATGCTATCGAATATGACATCTGAACAGTTCATTCTTTGGACGTGTATCAAAGCAAATATATTTATTTGCAATTGAGGCTTTGTTCAAATGTGAATTTCTTGGGTTTTGAAAACGGGAAAGAATTATTTTCCGAAACGTTAGCCATACAAAGAAAGCTAATATAGAAATTTCATTGTACCCATTGATTCTTCAATTTGTTGGCAAAATTTATGAATACGACAAGTTACTGACTGATTGAACTCTTCAGTGATTTATATTCAGCAGATTTAGGAGAACAATCACTGTTCCCAAGTACCAGAACTGCAACACTCTTCTCAACTCGTGTTTCACCAAGTAACAGTAGCTTGGTTCAACAGTAGGACAAATAAAATGTATGTGACAACAGATCTAATCAATTATTTCTCAAAACTAATGAATGAAAATAGGTATATTTATGAAAAAATTTAAGAAACTTCTGGACCATTGTAATATTTTTTTGTGCCTGTAGTTCCCTGTATTTACACTATATTGAGAGATATTGATGTCATCATGAGGAAACCAGATAACAGAATAGATAATTTTCAGTACAATATAATATATATTAATGTTTACGTGAAAATGTGTAGATTCAGTCCAACCATGTATATAATTATTTGAAAGAGAATGGGATGAATTTGAAATGTTTATATGTGATATAAATGATGTGGAAATGATGACGAGATTCTGATCAATACTTTTACTTATCGAATATTGGAAAGGATGCCTTTCTAGTTCTTATAGAAATGATAACATATTCCCCTTTTACTCCATTAGAAAAACATGTTATATGTGCTATTGTTTCTCTAGAAGATATTAATGAAAATAATTATTTTCCAAACTTGTTTATTCTAATTGTATGTAAATAAGTATTGGTAAATTGACCACTTGCTTTGTATTACATAAGTGGATTTTTAAATTCTAGTTTGCCTAGGCCTGCCTGTAACTAATTACAATAATTAACAGAAATTTGCTCAATCGACTTCTTGTGAAAAATTTCACTAGGATACGAACCGATATAAACTAGTCAATTCTAGAATGGTGTACGTACAAGAGGAAGATCAAACTGAATTTCGAGGTGTTAAGACAACGATTTGGTGTTGGGAAAACACTCCAGTAATATTCATTACTACACCAAAGTTCCAAACAGTGCTTCACAAGCACATCGCTTTTGATAATGTCTACCGCAGTATTGGACTAAGCGGCAGGCATGATAACCTACAGACCACGGTTTAAAAATCCGGAAAGTGGTTTTTGCACTGAAATTAAAATGACAATATGTGTATCACACTAAATCTCTTGTGCTATATGTTTAAATTTGTATAACAGGAATTACCTGTGGAATGATATCTTCTGTTCTTGGCTAAATATGGATTTCTCTGATCTTCACTTTTTTTGAAATACGGTAGAACTTCTTCATACGACCACCCTTCGTTTCCATAATCTGCCCATCTGTTGAAATCTCTTTTGTTGCCTCTAATGTACAACATTGTATTCAGCACGCTGGATCCACCTAAAACTTTTCCTCTCGTCCAACTGCATCTGTTCTCTACCATTGCTTGACAAGCTGTTTCTTGTGGTTCCGTTCTATAAGGAATAAATATTTCTGATTATGAATCGAAAATCATTAACCTAATTTATATAAAATTCAGATCTCATACCTAATTCTACATACAGTGTGACACAATTAAGATGAAGATACCCCTGTATTCCAGTCAATTTTGGAAGCAGAGATTTGATTTTTGGTACAAGCGTAGACCTTCACGGGCCGGAATTTTCACAATACGTAATTCGAGTAACAGCCTTAAACCCAGCCAACTGCGATGCCGCGAAAAGGGCAAATTACCGATATTTTGCTTCACGTTGGATATACCGAAATAAGTTTTATGAAAAAATTGTTTAGAAATTAATTTTGACCCTACATACCGAATTTCAACCCAAAATTCCAAATTTGATTCTGTTACCTGCGACTTCGCCCGCATAGAATTCGGTTTGTCACATTAAGTTTCGTGACAGACTATTTTAAATTAATAGAGTAGATGAACAACACCGATTCTGGCCCACTTGGGAGTGGGGGGAAACGTCATCGAAATCGACGCAGGATGGAACGAGTATCGTAGCGATTTAACCGTGGAACTCCGCCCCTCGGCCCCCTTGGTACTTCACCTAACCTATCAGGCCCCCTAGTACTCCGCATCACCGCTCAGGCCCTCTTGCGACTCTGCCTCACCCCTCGGCCCCCTTGTCACGTTCCAGTCACGTGATTTTAATTAAAAAAAGTTTATAGTTATGAGATTCGAACCTGGATCGTCCGCGTGGTAGACATTGTCCTTAGCCTCTACACCAACGTAAGATATTGAAGTTAACTGCGAATGTTGGGTATTTATAGCGTTAGTTTTGTCGGGACCGAAATTGACTCATTCATTATACTTGACAGCATTTTTTTTGATTTCCGTAAAATGTAATCGTCATTATCTTGTTGAAGATAGGAAAATATACTTAGATTTGGGAAATAATATTAATATTTCATGTAAAGATGTGTATGTGTGTGTAAGAGCGAGAGACGCGTGTNGTAACTCCAATGGTATAGGCAGCGCACGCCAAGATAGCTCTCAGGGATAAAGAAATTGTCCGACTTACTAAATACTTATCGTTAAATTATGACCAATCACAAAAAACCTTTGTTAATTATAGGCAATATATCATTCTGATGTATGATTTGTATGTATGTAAAATTTATAGATGTAGGTGAGTTAATCGAATTTAGTCTCCTGTACTATCCTGGCCAATAAGAAGTTCAATATTTTGCCTGAAAATTTCTAATTACCTCTAAGATGTGAGAGTGCCATTATAAATGTACGGGCTAATAATTCTACTCCTAAAAACACCTGCCCACACACTAAATCAAAATTTTCTTCGACTTCTCTGCTCCACAATAGAATGAGGATTTTGTTGTAGCGAATAAATAGCGATATCTCATTTGAAAAAAAAAATTTTTTTACACCGTTAAATTCCACGTAAAAATATGTTTTGGAAATGTTTTCATAGGAACAAGAAATTTTTGACAAGAAAAAAGTTACGGCAAATTTTCGAAGATGCATTTTAGAAAAACATGCTGTAATTCAAAAACGATGATAGATATCGATATGTGGTATGTCACAAAATTCAACCCTCAGATCATCAATTTTCATCTATCTAGTTTGGAAAGAGGAGTTTCTTTTCAAAAATATTGAAAAAGGTGTTTACAGTTTTAGAGTTTTTATAACAGAAATTCCAAAACTGTCATCAGTGTTAAAACAGACTTGACTTAAATCTTGGATGGTACCACCCAAGAAGAATTTCATTTTCAGTGTCACTATTTTCCGAGTTTGGAAGGCCGTTGATTTTTGTACGTTTTCCTGACGTTTCGCCTACGCAAGTGGCTAGCTTTTTCAGAGGTTTATATATCCTGAGAAAGCTAGCTACTCACGCCAGCGAAACGTCAAGAAGAAATTCCAAAAATCCACCGCCATCAAACCCGAAAAATAGTAATACTGAAACCCTCGACCTCGAAAGCCTTAACCATTTATCAGTTTCTTACATATCGAGTGGTCCAACGAAAAGTATGCACCTTGCTTTTCCCCTTTTTTTGTAACTTAACGCAAAAATGCTCGGACAGGTCAATTTTGCTTTTGAGGGGGACACATTTTAGGTGTATTTTTCTACCTGTGACTTCAACCCCCTAGCGAGGGTGAGTAACAACCCTAAAATTTTAAATGAAAAGTGGGGTCGAATGATATACTATTTGAAAGGACACAAAATTCTCTTTCCAATGATATCTATTTTGTTGTATTTACTTGAATAGTTATAAAAAAGCAAGAACATTTACTCGATATTTTTGGTGTTAATGAAAATGCGGAAAAAACATNCCACTTTCCATTTAAAATTTTAGGGTTGTTACTCACCCTCGCTAGGGGGTTGAAGGCACAGGTAGAAAAATACATCTAAAATGTGCCCCCCTCAAAAGCAAAATTGACCTGTCCGAGCATTTTTGCGTTAAGTTACAAAAAAAAGATAAAAGCATGGTGCATACTTTTCGTTGGACAACTCTGTATATATTTCCCATTATTGAAGACATTTTCATACTTGTCTTGAGACCATCAATGAGAATTTATAATGTGAATCGTTAATAATACTTTTTCATTCTACGTTATCCGATCCATGATTAGAAAATGAGTTTATACTTACTTGTAACCCCAATCAACCTTGCTTTTGTGTAAATACAGACTCAATATGGGTACGTCAGTAATTTCCGTTTCATGTCCCCCAGCTTCCAGTAGGAGCACCTTCCATCCGGCAATTTCGGTCAGACGATTCGCAAGGACCGATCCAGCAGAACCTCCACCGACGATGATAAAATCATAAGAAGAATCAACTTGTTTGCGATCGACTGGCCTATTTTCGGGGTCGAATTGGTCGTAGTGGAAGTATGTCACCGCAGCTATGAGAAACGGCAATATTGCTATTTTACCAACGCCAATCAAAGCGACGCCAGCTTTGACAGCTGTCAAAATCGTGGATAAGGCAATCACGGCCATTTGGACTTCCGTTTAAATTTCGTATTGATTTATAGATGACTAATAAATATCTTCTTATATTTTATCCTGAAGCTGACTCACAAGCTGTCTACGGTTATTTAATTTTCAATCATCACTTTTTTTTTCAATTTGTTACGTTAAAATCGAACTGTGTATTCAATTTTTTGTTATTTAGCGAGCAGGAACGGAGAAATTATGACTAGATTCGTTTCTTGGTATATATTTGGTAGCACAGGAGAAAATACTAGGTGGTTCATCTTTGATTGGCTCCTAGAAAAATAAAGAATTAAATTAGGAAGGGAGTTATTCCATGTCGAAAAAATACATCACATACAAAATTATAAACGAAGAGTTTTCAAAGCTAATACCATGTTCGTGACTATCTTCAATTTGGCACTGTTTTGGCACAGATTACAAAATCTCAACAAGTGTTTCACGTCCCAGTAGGTTCCTCAGGCGTATTTATACTGAACACGCCCGAAGAAGTATAGTAAAACACTTGTCGTGGTTCTGTCGAAACATTTCAATTTCATCACTGATCGTTTCATAAAAAAATAATTAGAAGACGCATGAGTTTGAATATTTCATCTACCTGCTAACAAATACGAACGGAAGTGTATTCTTATAGCACAAGTTATAGTCGAAGTAATTTTTATTTTGAATACTTAAAGCTATCGGCGCCCGCAAAGGCTAAAAACCAATACAAAGAGATAAAGCTGCTGCCGACTAGTCCACGTGGACTAAAGAATTGGCGGTTCGTATTGGATGATTTTTACCAACCGCGTTTTATGGTTGGCTGAAGAGTCATAAAATCAAATTTAGAAGTCATGTTACGGTGACGAATAGAATGTCGTCACCGTCGTGTTGTCAATGTTCAGTTCAGGAACTGATCGCGATTTGAGAGTTGAAATTCGATATTGGTGCAGTTATAGTTACTTAAAATTTTTGTTATCTGTTTAAAATGTGGCGTCTTAAGACAAGTACCAATAGAAATAACGAGTGTGATAACAACGCAGACTTTTTCCTGTGTAGTGATTCCAATAGCGTTGGTTAACAATGCGAAAAAGAGATACCAGTGGATAAGATTCGGATGCATTTGAATATTGAAACACAGAGAGTATGTTTCAATATATATAAGAATCTACATCACAAGTTTGGTCCTTTGAAATTATGTGGAAAAAAACTTGAGGACTGCAATGTTGACTATCATAAGAACATTTAAGCTAAAATTTTTGAGGAACGGTTTGAAAATACATTGATTCCAAATTTGGATGCGAATAGTGTAATAGTTCTTGACAATGCTTCCTATTATCATTCGCGACAGCTTATCAGAGTAGGTACCGGATAAAAATTCGAGGAAAAATGGAATACAAAGTTTTTTAATGGATAACAATTTGTATTCTGAAGATAACTATACCAAAAACCAACTACTGGAAGTTTTACAGACAAAATCATTTGAAAAAGTGTATACCCTTGAGAGTATTGCTGAAAAGTATGGATACACCATACTGAAACTTCCGAGTGTGTATGATATACAAATCAAAAAAGAAACAATTAGTGGACATAACACTCCAAAAAGGGGGGCAAACCGCGACACGTGTTTTTGGCTATTGGTCTCATCAGCGCGGTGCAGCTAAGTGTAAAGATGGGTAACACTTGTAACACCACGTAGGCAGCTATAGCTTCTAACTGAAACCACAAATGTGCGGTTGGGTCCTGTTGTTGGCTCCGTGCATATGTGTTGCTTCCTGCTTTCGGCAAACAAGTGTTACCCATCTTTACACTTGGCTGCACCGCACTGATGAGGTCAATAGCCAGAAACACGTGTCCGCGGTTTGCCCCCCTTTTTGGAGTGTTATGTACACTAATTGTTTCTTTTTTGAATAGTTATTGTGATTCTTATATAATCAGAAATGTTTATCGAACAGCGCTTCAACTATATTATTAAAGGAAGGTAGGTTGCACTATATCGTTTG